TAACAGCTCTACAGATTTTTTTTTTTTTAACAAAGCTCTACATTTGTTTTTAATTATATCTAGTATCTACAGTTGGTTTTGGGACAATAAAGACTTGGGGTGTTCTTAATATGTTACTACTTCTAAATTAGTTTGACTTTCAATTTGATGTTAAATATAGGATTTTAATTAATTATTTATTTTTTTAAGATAGTCCTTGTAGTAGTTGCTTTATCAAATATTAAAATTAATACACTTGATTAACAAGGGTATTTTAGAAAAGACAATACATATTTATTACAAATAACTAATTCAATAAATTTTATTAATCTACTCAAATTAGTCAATTAGCTCTTGTATTAAAGATAAGAAGTAGTATTAAGAGTATGAAATTTGTTTACCTTTATTAGTTATATCAATTGAAATAAATAATATATGTATGATATATACTGTAACTAAATTCATCCCAATCCGATGTTTATTATTTTAATTATATCTATCAAAATTTTAAATTTGCGTGGATCAATAATTTTATATACTAACTTTTATATTAGGTTAAAGTATATATTTAGTCTTCTATTGTTATATAAAGTTTCAGTCTTAATTTTAAAAAATATATTTTTAATCCTTTAACTCTAAAATCGCTAGTATTAAATGATGATTTTTTGTAATATTTATAATTATTTTGAAAATTAAACTTAATATGTTAGTTTTTAATAATATTTTATTAACATTCAAGATCTCAGTATTATTATTTTTTGTTAATAATTTTAAGGTAAACGGATTAAAAGTATATTTTTTAAAATAAAAAAACTAAATTAAAACCTTATGTAAAATTAAAAGACTAAAAGTATGTTTTAACCTTTATATTATCATATGAGTTAAAGCATATTTAGTACTTTAAAATATTTTATTAATTCTAAATTATTTTCTAGTAGATCAAGTATTTTAAATTACATTAAAAAATATTTTAAAGTACTAAAAAAATATTTTAAATTGCGTTAAATTCAAATTCTCTATTGCTTTGGATTGCGCTAATTTTTCATAACAACTGCTATATTATGCTAAGTGTAAAATTGTAAAAAAATATTTTAATATATTAAATGTACTTAAAAATATATTTTAGGATGTTAGATATATTTTAGAGGACAAAATTTAAGTCTATACTTATATTCATTAGATCTATTTCTCTAGTAAAATTGCAATGCATGGGTTTTCTAATAATAAAATTGATAGGAATAAAATTTTAAAATTATGGTAAACTAAGCAAATCCACTTACTTTTTAACTGTAGAGCTTTCAAACCAAAGGAAATGATACTGTGCTTTAATGGAAGAGAAAGAGGGGCATTGTTGGAAGTGAAAGAGAGAGAAATTAATTGATAGAACAAGATTGTTAAATATAAAAATTTATGGGACCCACTAGTTATTCTTTCTCTTGTTGTGATACTATGTAAGGGTGAAGTTATATGAGCCGCTCTTTTATTAGATATATTGCAAATGATGTGATGCGCCAAGTTCGCATAAGAATTTCTTGACATGATTGATGTGTCTGTAAATAAAAATGTTCATTAGTCATTAGTAACTGCTTACTGTACTTTTTGCTTCTTCTCTCTGTAATTTTTGTGCTCTTCCTCTGTTCTTGCTCTCATTTCTCTCTTTAATCATAAAAATCTTTTGATGCTCTTGCTCTTCTGTTTTGAGTTGCTTTTCTCCTTCTCTTTTAGAGAAAACAAAGCAAGAAAAAGAAATCTAAGAGTTTTGGGTTTTGTTTCAAAGTTTGTCGATTGAAAGAACCTGTTTTTTTTTCCAAGCTTTATTTTCTGGTATTTGAGTTGTTTTTTTATTCTTATCCTTGTCTATTGTCATTATTGTTGTTTAGCTAGTTCTTACTTAGAGAAAACCAAAAAAAAAAAAAGTTGTGTTGAAATCTTCTCTCGTAATTCCTTTTCTCAAACCCAAAAAAAGAGGGAGAGAAAGAAGAAGAAGAGGCTTTCATATCAAAAGCATTGCAGCATAGAAATCCCTAAGAGGTAAGGATTTAAACTCCATGATACTTATGAATTCTATTTTACACATATGCTCTCTTAAACTTTTTTTGTTTGTTTTAACTTGCTTTTATTTCTTAGATCTTGATCGGTCATATGAGGCATACTTGAATAATTCCCATTTACAGGTTAATATATGCATAGTTTTGGTCGTAGATTTCATTTATGCTCATAGAAACTTCTACGATAGCTTTGTTAAATTATAAACTAAAGTGGGTTATGCGTAATGCGTATTTATATATATTAAAAATAAAGGCACAGAAAAAATAAGTTAGTAGAAGTAGAAGTTGTTTTACATTTAAAAAGCACTAATAAGTTTTCAATAGTATTTTTTGGGGACAAAATTGTTTTATTTTTTCGTTAGATAATTAAAAATGGAAAGAACCTCCTAAATGTATTTTCTTTCTTTTTCGATTAATATTTATACATCTTTAATTAGCTCTCTTCTGCACCAATTTTCTTCAGTCACCATGGATTAGAAACATTTCTTGCTATTAAAAACATGATTGCTTTTATAAAAAGCAAGAGAAAAGTCTCCTATTAAAATTTTACTAGTGATAAGGACTTGATAGATTTTTGTACACAGAAAATATCAAGACTTTGCAACACACATAACAGTAATATTGATATTTTGATTCAGGTCCTCCTCATTAATAAGATTTTCAATAAGGAAATTTTTCTTATTCTTATCTAAATTTTTATGTCTTTACAATTTAGGTTATCATTCCCTTAATTTTTCTCTGACATTAGGGTCAAACCAAGAAGCAAGCAGAAGGTCCTTCCTATCATAGAGTTTGGAATACTTGGACAAGAGTCAAGAAGTAAGCATAGAATTTCATAATATTGATATTAAGAGCTTCCAAATCAACGTCTTTAATATCACTTAAAAAACAATAAATTAACAATATAATTTAGCGATCCAATTTTATTCTGTTACTAATTTCATGATTAGAATTAACAACATAATTATTCTGTCAAACAATCTATCAATAATCCATCACTAATTCTATTATAAAGTATTTGGGAATGGAAATGCTCAAAATTATCAATTTCTATTTCTCAATGTCATTATTAAAATGCTTGTCATCAAAATATTCTATCATTAATTTTGTGACTAAACCATGGTTCATCCCGCCCTTCCGTCTCATCCTTCACGTCATTGTGACCATGAGAGTACGGGAGATACAATTATTTTACTTAAATTATAAAAACCTTTCATTTATTTTAAAATTGTGCGAACATTCTTTGAAATTAAATCATATGTTATACAAATCTTTCTTATATAATTGATATGCCATTTTCGTTCAACTAAATGTTAGTTCTCTTAAAGTTTGACTCTTAAAATTTTGTTTTGACAAAAATACACCTGCTTAACATAAAAATTATTTAAATATTTATATTATATTTTCAAATAAATATTTTTTATACAACAAAAAATAACTTTAATACATATATTTTCAAGCTTTCTAATATGTTGTAAAGTTAATTTTGATTATATTATAAACTTTTGTAATTTTAATCTTTCATCACATGTATTGGAACTTATTTATTGAGTTTTTTTTTTTCAAATTAATGGCTAACAAATATTTCAAACACATATTTTTTCATCATATATTATAATTATAAATGATGCAAGATTGGGAGATTATATAAACAATTTAAATTTAAAATATAAAATTTTTAACAAAGCTTTAGTTACAAACACTTATAAACATACTCAGTCAGTTATATATTTTTTTTCAAAAATTAATCAAATTTTCAATCAAGTTTTTTCATGTATACATTAAGTAAAGGGTAAATATCATCTCTAGTTTTTAAAATTTGATCTTATTTTAATTTTAGTTTCTAAAATTTCATACTTTCATGAACCAAAAAAAAAAACTGTTCCATAAACAAAAAATCTGTAAGCAGATCAAAATAAAGTTAAATTTTAAAAATCGAAAGCACTTGTTTCAAATTTTAAGGACCAAATTAAAACTAAAACAAGATCAAATTTTTACAACTAAAGATGATATTAATCGTTGACTAAATTACTTAAACTTCTTTTCTAACATGATAAAAACATTATAAATATATCTATTTACAAAAGTAAATAAAAAATCAAGGAAAAGGGAAAACTTTTAAATTCTTTAAAAATATTTTAGCCAAAATTAAGAATTTACTATCATGATGTAAACTAGTAAACAAAAGTACTTTAATATAACTTTAATTAAAAAGTATCTTTTGAAATTTAAGTGTATGTTATCACAATAGATGATGGAAAATCATGTCAGCAAGACAAAATGTAATAGATTAAAGGTTGAAGTATTTTACTGTAAAATTTAGAGTCATATGCGGAAATCAAATTATTTGCAACGGCATTCTATAGGTGTGGGTGTGGCTTATGGAGAAACCAATAAGATTTATGGTTATTGAGTTTTCCAATTTTTGATTTGTGGTCTCTAGAAATAAGTTATGATATTATGCTAACATAATAAACTTATTTATTAAGGTAAAAAATGTTCATATTATTAGATATTTCCATTTAAACCTACTACATAAACTGACAAAAGAAACAAATACATATATTTACATATTTTTAATTCTCACCACCTTTTTCTTTCTAATTTATAGTGACTTCAGATTTTTTCGTATCAACCCAGCAATGTTATGGAGCACATTCTAAAAGACTACAATAACTTGTTAGAAGAGAGAGCTCTTTAGATTTATAAATCAAACTTTTCTTCTAAGGCTTGAGGCTCATAACATTTTGTGAGTGCAATGGATTGTCAAACTAACTTCCCTGTCATATTTATATTGGATTGTTTCATCTAAAACATAGAGGTTACGAAATTTTGTGCACTATAAAAGTACTAAGATTTTGATTACTATGATTTGTTTTTTATGCTAAATATTGGATCATAGTATAGTTGTGCCTGAGGTATCACGATATGACCTTGTTGTTTTTGTAATTGTAATCTCATCATGTATGATAGATGGCGGAGATTGCGGCCAGTAGTGCTGCTGCAACAAAATGTACTGATATATTGGTAGACAAAGTAACAAAGGAACTTCCATATTTGTGTTGTTACAAGAGTTATGCAGCTGAATTTGAAGAGAGAAAAGGAGAATTGTCAGCTGGAGTGGAGAGTGTGGACATGAAGATAAAAGAAGCCAAAAGAAGGAATGAAACTCAAATTGACCCTTTAGTTAAGCATTGGGTTCGAAAAGCCAACAACTTCATTCAGCAAGAAACAAGACCAAAGAAATGGTTTGGTTTCTGTAATGATTGGTTTTTGCAATATTCACTGGCGAAGAAATTAGAGCGCATCATGCAAGAGATTCCAACAATAATGGAGAAAGCTGAGAACTTCTCACAAGTTGCACATGCAGCTGGACCTCCAGGCATGGAGTTCTATTCACAAGAGTTTATGCATTTTAAAAGTAGAAACTTAGTTTATGAACAACTTAGGGAGGAGCTGAAAAATGACAATATACATAGGATTGGATTGCAAGCAATGGGAGGATCAGGGAAAACCACAATGACAAAAGCAATTGGTAAGGAACTTGAAAATTCAAAGGCATTTGATAAAGTTGTCTTCATTGAAGTGCCTAATCCTGTTGACGAAAAGAAGATTCAAGATGAAATTGCAAAAAAATTGGAGTTGAAGTTGGAGGATGGCAAGGATTTAACACACGCAGAACAAATATGGATCAGAATCACTAATGCTGGAAGTGTATTCATAATACTTGATGATGTCTGGGAAGAGCTCAAACTTGAGAACATAGGGATTCACCATGGCATCCATACCCAGGGCCGGTGTTGTGTCTTGCTAACCACACGTTATGAGACAATTTGTAGAAGAATGGGCTGCCAAAAGACTGTTAAACTAGGGCTCTTGCCTGAGGAAGACGCAGTGAATCTTTTCCTACATCATGCCACCGAAAATGGGAAGGATTGTCCTAATAAATTGAAGTTGCTAGCATCAAAAGTTGTGATTGAGTGTGGAAACTTACCAGTTGTAATTGTAGCAGTTGCACGAACATTTAGAAATTGGGATCCAAATGAATGGGAGGATGCTTTTGCAGTAATAGAAAAATATTCATCCTTAAGGCATGGGAACACTGATGAAGAAGTGAAAAAGTTTTACAATTCTCTGAAAATAAGCTTCAAGTGTCTAGATAGAGGAGCGCAAGATCTCATCCTGCTATGTTCTATATTCCCAAGAGCTTATGAAATACCAGTAGAGGTTTTAAGCAGAATTGCTATAGGTTCAGGGCTTAGTGAAAATGTTGGCAGCTACTATAGAGCAAGAAGTGAAGTTCTTTCAATCAAAACCACACTCGTACGTTCTGCTTTATTGCTCACTACTAGAGAAAGATTTGTAAAGATGCATGATGTGATTCGTGATATAGCCCATCAAATAGGAGATGAAAAGATTCAAGTAATCATGGATTCTAAAAGTAAATTGAAGGAGAATGTAAAATATTCATCATGGATGATAGATGACTTTTCCAACTCTTTTGAGGGCATTAATCTTGAGGTTCTTTTAGTATGGGTAAATAATGCAAGTCATTCTTTGGGAGTTCCTGAGGCATTCTTTGGAGGTATGAAGGGTCTTAGAGTTTTGCTTTTGTGTTCTAAGGTTAAGTTTTGGAGAACATTGGCCTTGTCACTGCCAAAATCAATTCATTCACTTGAAAATATCCAAACACTGTCCCTAACAAATTGGGAGTTGGGTGATATATCTATTTTGCAAAACCTCAAAAAACTCCAAACTCTTGAATTGACAAATTGTTCAATTAGTGAATTGCCAAATGAAGTTAGCCAACAGGAGAAACTGAGGTTGCTAGGCTTGGTAGATTGTTCAATCGAAAAGATCCCATTTGAGGTGATTGGGAGATGCTCGAAACTTGAAGTATTGTATTATATTTCAAATCATGACACTCTTAAAATTAATCCAAAGCCTTCTAAAATTATAGATCTTCATCAAGAATTTAGAATATATCATGTAGAAGGCAACTACTCTTACCAGCGTTCTTTTCAATTGGATGCTTCAACAAAAAGATATTTCAATTCAACCAAGTTAAAAGGGATCTTGTCCGAAAGCACAATCAAATCCCTGGCAGCAAGAGCAGAGATTCTTGAGTTAACAGAATGTAATGATACAAGATGGACAAACCTTATTCCTGACATAGTTGATCCTCAAGAAGATGAAGGCATGAATGGCTTAATTAGGCTTTCTTTGAAATCTTGGCCTGCAATACAATGCCTCATCAATACAAGTGGAATTCAATCTCATGCAACCATCTTCTCAAACTTAGTTGAGGTACAACTTTCTAACATGTGTGTGAGGGAATTATGTCATGGTGATTTTCCTAATGACTTTCTCAAGCAACTAGAGAAGCTATACATAAGTGGTTGTGCTGAAATAGACGGCACACTATTGAAGGGCAAGCTAGAGCTAAGTAGTTTGAAATCTATAGAGTTAAATGGTTATTCGATAACATATCTTTTCTGTCTATCCACAGCTCAAAGTCTAAAGCAACTGGAAAAGTTGGACATAAGCGGATGCTCAAAGATGAAATGCCTAATAAGTGATGATAAGAGATCTGCAGAGCAAAAAGTGGACGATCATCATGATTGTAATCAAAAGACCCATCACTCAATGTTCTCGAAATTGAGGTCTCTGAACATTGAAGAATGTCATGAATTGGAATTTATATTGCCAATTCCTTGCAAAGAGCTAGAAAGCGTGAAAATCCGTGGTTGTAATAAGCTAGAATTCATATTTCGGCAATGTTTAGAGGAGGGAGGTATGCGTCAAATGGAAAAGGAAACCATACTCCCCTCACTACAAGAAATAGAAATTGCAAACGTATCCAAATTCATCAACATATATCCAGAATATTATCTCCCACAGTCTTCTGAAGTGCAAAAATCATGGGGCCCTCTGTGTCGTTTATCTTCAAAAGCAAGTGCCTTCAGCATCAATGAACTATCTTTTTCCAGGGCCAATCAATTGAACCTTACTTAGGTACTTTGTCTCACTTTTTTTGGTTACTATGATTGTGATTTTGTAATGTAATAACATATTGACAAATATTTTAATGTAACATAGGCATTAAAGGAGAAACATCTCGGTAAAGCTAGTGGACTTTTTACACCTTCATTATGTTCGTACAAGAATTTAAGAAAGATGAGTGTAGAGGGATTTTCTGAGTTGAAGTCACTTCTTACCCTGTCGATTGCCTCATCATTGAAATTGTTAGAAGAATTAACAATAAGTAAATGTGGTGAACTGGAGCACATAGTCATAGATGAGGGGCATGCTTACAGTCATATGAATGATTGTTGTATCTTTTCCAACTTAAAGCAAGTTGAAGTCTTCAATGCTGAAAAGTTGAAATATGTGTTTGGAAAATGTCATTCCAATCAAAGGCATAATGTTCAGATTGAACTTAATCTCCTAGATCTCAAAAGACTAAGCCTTCATGATGTGCCAAATATGGTGAGTATTTGCACCAAAAAGTATTCTGTGAAGGCATTATCTCTACAAGATATAAGTTTGAAAAACTGCCCACAACTTCCCATAAATAATGTTATAGATTTATCCATTGATGTGCAAAAAAGAGATCACCTCTCAAAGCAAAAGGTAAACCTCTTTCCTACTATTTTTTTTAGTTTTTGAATATTTAAGTAGAGAAAATTTATTCTTTTGTGTGAAGATTTCTACTTGTGGTAGCTTTTTGCGTGTGAATAGACACATATATTATTGATTTTGATGGCTTGTTCAAAAGTATGCCTTATGTTAGTAGGTTACTTTTTCACCTCTGACTTCCACTTTAAAACATTTATATTGTTTAATTTTTCCTTGTTATTTTACTTTTTCATTTACAGAAGTATTTAGAATGCTGAAATTTACATTCTTTATAATTTTTATTATAAAAGTTGATGTCGTATAGATTAAAATATATAACTTTGGCTTCTAGGTAATTGTTTAAAGAAAAAATCACAAATAAAGATTTTGAAAAATATAAAATTGCAATTTGGATTTTTGAATTCAAAAAGTTATTGCTAGGGACCTCATCTTAAATTTGAATTGTGAAATACTGATCGTGAGTATAAGACGAAGTTGCCTTCCTATTGAAAATAACAAGTGAACTATTGGGAATAACAAGCATAGCATTTAAAATTACAAGTGAAGTATTTCAAATAATAAATTTGTACTACGAAAAAATAAGTACAATTTTAGAAATTACAAGTTAAGTATTTCAAGTAACAATTTAAGTATTCCAAGTAATAGGAGGGCAATTTGGTTTTTTATACAATATTTGCTAATTTATATTTAAAAGCCAGTTCTTGACAACAATTTTAGGATTTGAAGAATCCAAATTGCAATTTTATATTTTCTATGGCCATTATTTGCAATTTTTCCTTGTTTAAATAGAAAATAATAGAAAAGCAAAAGATAGAAATTTTAGTTTGAGCTCAATTTATATCAAAAGCGAACATTTCTTTTGTTTACAATATGAGAAAAATTAGGGGAGAAATTCAAAATATTTATATCTTATAAGTTGTTAGAAAAGCTGAGTAAAATTTCTCTTGAATTCTTCTTGGTTTCACGAGTTCTGTAAAGAACCGGAAAAAGTATTTTCTATTTTTTTTAAATATAACAACATACTAAAATGTTCTTTATTAGTTTATTGAAGAAGAATTCATATGTATTTACTAGGAAAAAGGAAAAAAATGAATTAACATGTTTGTATTTAACCAAGGCATCCAAATCGAAGCACGAGCCAAGTACAGCTTATGGATATTTTCCACTACCATTATCTCAATCCAGTTTGAGAGGGATTGAGATAACTGGATTTTCCAAGTTAACATCACTCTTTACCATATCCATTGCCTCATCACTGAAGTTCTTGGAAACATTGTATGTCAAGGAGTGTGATGCACTGGAACATATTATAACAGACGAGGGGCCTAATGGTCAAGATCATATGAATGTGCACTCTATCTTTCCTAACTTACAACAAGTCTATATTTGGAGCTGTAACAATTTGGAATTTTTATTCCCAGCTTTTTATTCAGAAGACTTTAAGGAGTTGGGATATGTGAGCATCGGGAAGGCAGAAAAGATGAAATATGTATTTCCAGAATGTCATGCTGATCAGAATCATAATGTTCAGAGTAAACTTAATCTCCCAGCCTTGAAAACAATATACCTTGTAGATTTACCAAATATGGTTAGTATTTCCACAGAAAATTATTACGGGGAGGTATTAAATCTAGAATATATTAGTATTGAAGGATGTCTACAGCTTTGTTACTATTGAGAGGAAAAACAGAACAGATTCATTCATGAAAACAGAAATGACCTCAGGTACATACTAAGTAGCCTCCTCACTCAAGCCACGTCAGCAGCCATACACTCTCTCTCCTGTAACTAACCTGATAGCATGAATATTCGCTGACCTGATAGCTAATTACATAAAGGTCCCCTCGTGTATTATTTACCCTAATAGAATTACCATATACCATATAACAATATACTTCCCCCCCTAAAAAACATCCTTGTCCACAAGGATGGATGTGGCTTGAGGAGCCGTAGTAGCAAAATGAGGGAACTGCTGCTTGATGGTTGTGAGGTCCTCCCATGTTGCATCTTCTGGTTGAGTAAATTTCCAGCGGATTAGAACCTGAGTGACAGGCATGTTATGTCGTTTCACAATCTTCCTCCCTAGTATCTCTTCTGGTTCAAGCGAAAATTGCCCTTGGGCATCAACGGGGGGTAAGGTTGGAGACGCATGATCAGTAGTACCAGTATGCTTTTTCAATAAAGAGACATGGAATACAGGGTGTATCCTAGTATCTGCCGGCAACTTCAATTCATAAGCAACACTGCCCACCTTCTTAGTAATCTGAAAAGGTCCAAAATAACGAGCTGCCAGCTTGTGCAGCGAAGAATTATTAAGCAGATTCTTGCGGAAAGGGTGAAGCTTTAGATATACCCTATCTCCTACCTCAAAATGTCGTTCAGATCTGTGCTTGTTGGCCTGATTAACCATCCGGTGTTGAGCCTTTAGTAGGTGCTGTTTAAGTAATTGCAGAACTAACTCCCTAGCCATGCAAGTTCGGTCCACAACATCATTAGGAGAATCACCAGAAATATAAGGTAGATGGGTAGGAGGAGCCATGCCATAGACAGCTTCAAAAGGGGTCATCCCAATAGCTGAATGATAAGTTGTGTTATACCATAATTCTGCTAAGGGCAGCCACTTAACCCACTGTTTCGGAAAGTCACCAGTCATACAGCGGAGATAACACTCCAAACAACGGTTTAGAACCTCAGTTTGACCATCCGATTGAGGGTGATAGGCAGAAGAATAGTTCAAATTCACACCATATAAGCGAAATAATGATTTCCAGAATTTCCCACAAAAAATAGGGTCACGATCAGAAACAATCGATTTAGGAAACCCATGCAATTTCACCACATTATCCATAAAGACTTGGGCCACTTCCACAGCTGTATACGGATGTTTCAAAGCCATAAAATGGGCGGCTTTAGACAACCTATCCACAACTACTAAAATAGTTGTCTTAGCATAAGACTTAGGCAAGCCACTAATAAAATCCATAGACAATTCAGACCAAACATGTTCAGGTATTGGGAGGGGCTGTAAAAGACCTGGAGAAGCTACCAGTTCTGGTTTAAATCGTTGACAAGTATGGCACTCTCGAACGTAGTTGCGCACATCCTTTTCCATCCCCTTCCAGTAAAAAATAGAAGAGAGGCGCCTGAAAGTAGGTTGCATTCCTGAGTGGCCTCCAATTCCATCACCATGAAAATAAGAGAGCAATTCACGCCGTAGGTTACAATCAGCCCCTACCACCAATTTCCCCTTCCTTTTTAAGAGACCATGCTGCCATGTGAATTTAGGATGGGATAAGGGGTTGGACTCAATCTCCTTGATCAATATCCGCAATTCATCATCAACCAGCCATGAGTCACGTACCCTGTCATAAAGAGGTGACACTGGTGCAGAAATAGCAGCAATAGTTCCTTCTGAACGCCCGGATAATGCATCAGCAGCAGCATTTTCACTGCCTTTGCGGTATACAATGTCAAAATCCAAGCCCCACATTTTGTGCAACCACTTAAACTGAATCTGATTCAGATCGCTTTGCTCCAGTAAATGTTTTAAAGGCAAATGATCTGTCTTTATGACAAACTTCCGACCCCATAGGTAAGAACGCCATTGTTTGACAGCAAACACAATGGCTAATAGTTCTCTCTCGTAAGCAGATAATGGCTTCCTCTTGGGAGCAAGGGCCTTACTTACAAATGCTACTGGATGCCCTCTTTGAGACAAGACAGCACCTATACCAAAACCAGATGCATCGGTTTCAATAACAAAAGTGTCATCAAAATTGGGGAGAGCAAGCACCGGGGGAGAAATCATGGCCTGCTTGAGTGCTTGAAAAGCAGATTCTGCTTCCTTTGTCCACAAGAAAGCCTGGTCTTTCCTTAAGAGATCGGTCAGGGGTTTAGCTAGTGTACCATATTGCTGCACAAATCTGCGATAATACCCTGTGAGACCCAAGAACCCTCTTAACTCTTTCAAGGAGCTAGGTATTGGCCAAGAGGAAATGGCTTCTAGCTTCCGAGGATCTGCTTGAACTCCTTGTTCTGATATTATGTGTCCCAAATAATCAATTTGCCTAGCTGCAAAGGTGCATTTTGAAGCCTTGGCAAATAATTTCTGCTGCTGTAGGGTGACCAAGGTCGTTTCTAAATGCTGCAAGTGAGATTGCCAATCCTTGCTGTAGACTAAAATGTCATCAAAAAAGACTAGGATAAATTTCTGTAGATAAGCTTTAAACACAGAATTCATCAATCCTTGGAAAGTGGCCGGGGCATTCGTTAGCCCAAAGGGCATGACCATGAATTCATATAACCCCTCATGAGTGCGAAATGCAGTTTTGGCAATGTCTTCCACCCTCATCCTAATCTGATGGTATCCAGCCCTT